GGGAACCGGTCTGTATGTGGGATCTGAACCCTCGGCGGGAGCGCTGGTGTGCTCCCAAGCGGCGCACTGTAGCAGTGCGCCACCGGGCCGGCCCCAGTTTCTCCTTCTAACAGAGGAGTGGCTGAGGTGCAGTCCCTTCGGGCTCTCATTGCATTCATGTTGCTTTGAGTCATCTTTTATCATCTCTGTTACAAAGCGAGAAGTATAACAGGAGGGGACAGAAGCACAGCAGGGGTGAGCAGGCGTGGCTGGGCCAGGGCTGTGTGGCTGGGCCGTGGGGAATTGTGGGGATGCTATAAGGTTGTCCCTTGGATGAAAGATGGAAGAACAAACCCAAATCTAATCCAGACAGTGTTTGTGTAGCTCAAACACTTACATCGGTGGGAAGGACAGCCGACTTCCTGCAGGGTCTTTAGGGCCAAGTGGAGTCCCCACTTTGCTCAGATACTTTGAGTTAATGGCTGGTAGCCTCACCTGTGTGAAGAAATGCAAGAAACCACAAGTTAGTGAAAAATATTCAACAGCTCAGACACTGGAGGAGAAGAAAAGTCACTAACAGTAGCAAAGATTAAAAACTTATAGGACTGAATATTCTGTGTGGTCACTCTTCTACTGTAAACGGTCACATTAAAATATAACTCAACAATAATCCCATTTGACAAAACGGTTATGTAAAAGGGACTGTCAGTAATTCAAAGGCAGTTTCTGTATCCCAGTAAAGATGCCACCTATTCAGGAGGGAGAACAACTAAAAACAGGAAAACGTGACCTACAAGAGGTCCTTGGTCCTGAAGGGGACTCTCCATGCCCGCATGAAATGAAAATGTATGTTCACACAGAAGCCTGTATGCAACGTTTACGATGGCTTTAGTAATAATCAGCAAGAACTGGAAACAGCCCAGATCTCCAGCAACAGGTGAATGGACAAGCAAACAGTACCATGATCCACGATGGGACACCTCTCAGTGCTACAAAGGAACGAGCTCTGACACTTAGCTGGCACCGCTGTGCTCAGGTGCTTTGCCACACGGAGAGGCCAGGTGGGAAGGGCCACGCA